GGGTTGCTATTGGGAACAGTATACCCACGCCGCCATGCGTGCATGCCTGCATGCCAGAAACCATGGCGAGCACTAAGTACCAACTCTACCATATTGCCATGGGAGTTGCCCCTGGGAGGCTGTCAGTCCAAGAGCCTAGAATCATACTAGTCTTGGCCTGTCACACAGGGGCTACCACACGTTTCTCTTTGTATGTGCTGAAAGAACTGTCTCAACAGATCCCTAGTAGCAACACCCTGTTAAAGTAGGTATCCAGAGAATACATAGGAGGAGTGGTGCCTAAGGCAGAACCAGGGTTTTAAACCACTCAGAAAGAGCACGAAGCTGTTGCGCGTAGCTCTTACCGTACAGGATTTTAGAAAAGTGGGCAAAGCATAACATGCACACTTACCAGCTGTGTGGACTTTAGAAAGTAGGCAAAGCATAACGTGCACACTTACCAGCTATGTGGATTTCAGAAATACTGTTCTAGGGGTTCTCGTGGTACCCTGAAAGAGCAGCCCATAGATTCAAAAACGCTATGTCTACGGCTATAATGCTGGAGTGGTGGAGTGGCTAGCAGTAAGTCTGTAGATGAGGGAGCAAACATCCAGCTCTCAATCGAGAGGGAGCTCAACCTACAGCATGTTCCAAAACTGGAACAGCTAGCAATAATCTACTTAGCTGTCTACCTTGGCTGAGGGAGCACAAACCCAACTCTCAAAGAGAGGGGGCTCAACCTGCAGCATGATTACAGATACCCGGAAGTACTGGGCCAAACAGGAGAGGCAAACTCAAATACAACCCTCCAGCCCGGACGTCCAGGAAATTTTTGCAGTGACGCACCGGGGACCTGATGATCACGAAGGCTCCCGCCGAAGCCTGTGTTATGGCCGCATGATCCAACCACCAATCTCATTAGATACACATATATATATTCATATATACATATTCAGTTTTTATTGTAAGCAAGAGCCTACATAAATCAGTTGTCAAGTCAATGTGTTTCAAATTATCTAAAAATTCAATAAATATTCAGTACTATGAAATGCATGTAACAGTAGAGTGCACCCTGTATTAAAAATAAGTGCATGAGGTATAATAAAAAGTATTAAATGTTATTAAAAATATTATTATTAACGTATTAAAAGTATTATTATTATTATTATTAAAACAATTATTACAATCATTATGAAATATTAAGGTATGTTGTAATGAGTAATGAATGTGACAATGGATAATGAAGATAATTATTTCCTTATCTCTTCTCGAGTGCGTTTGGTTTGGAAACGTAGTTTGCGGACCAGACAGAGTTGTCAGCGATTCTTCCTATTGTAAAGTCATGCAGTGTGTAACCTCCTGTCGCCGATCCATCGTGCAATGTGAACACAGCCGCAACTGAATGCTATCCCAGATAGTCGTGTAGTGAGAAAACAACGGTGATCCGACGACTTTGAAAATAGTGCAGTGTGTACTCGGCATTAGATGAAATCAACTGAAATAAAAGACATTAAATCTCTCAAAATCTCAGCAGAGGAGGATTAAACAAACAGCATTACCAGCTTCACCCATTACTAACCAGATTGACTTTATATCTGGCACATCTCATACAGAAGTTCTTATTGAGAATTAAAGGGATACTCCACCCCAAAATGAAAATTTTTTCATTAATCACACAAAAGCTTCGTTCGTCTTTGGAACACAATTTAAGATATTTTGGATGAAAACCGGGAGGCTTGTGACTGTCCGATTGACTGCCAAGTAAATTACTGTCAAGGTCCAGAAAAGTATGAAAGACATCGTCAGAATAGTCCATCTGCCATCAGTGGTTCAATCTGAATTTTATGAACTCATAATTTGAGTTTTTCTTTTGCTATTTGAGCAACTGGGAATGCAAAAAATAGATTTGTGGTACTCTCCCATTCACTGCTCTTCATGTTAACCCAACTATGACGACTTCCGCTGCTGAGAAACCCGGAAATGTGAAAAGGGTCCATGGAGATGAATGAATGTTTAACCCTTTCACTGGTGAGTTTCACATATTCTAGCGGTCCCCCCAGAGTGAGTTTTTTTAAGGGGACCGTTATTTTAGAACGTTACCCCTTTACTGTTTCCATGGAGACGCCTCATGCTTGTCGCTTGACTCCACGGCCACAATAACACTGAATAGATCGCTTTTATTTCCTTTTTCCTTTTTTATTCAAAATATTCACAAACTTGCTTACCATGTCATGAACTATCTGATATTCTGATTCACAAATATGTGTAAATGAGTGTGTTTTGTCATTTAAAACCCTTTCTAAATGATCTTGATCGTGATCTGTAATGTAAGATGGGCGCCGCCATGTTTGTTCAGTTCAGAGAGTCTCGTTAGTCAGATTTACAGCACGCTAAATCTATCGCTTTCTCCCGAAATACATGCAAGTAAGTGGCCGGTGAACTGGGAGAGCAATAGAGGGAACTTTATAGTTACTTACACTATGTGTATCTGATATGAATAAAACACATCGCCAAATTAAACTAGAATGGATTGTTATTGTTGCTTCCATAGACATCAGTGTGTATTTCACGAACTGTAAATGTAATGTTTTACTAGTACTTCTGTGTATTTAAATGTCTGAAACCTAAAATAAGCATTATGTGGTTAAAACACTGCATAGTTGTGATAATATGACAAGCGCAGTCTGGGCCCTGAGCAGAACTGTATTGTTGTGCCCCCTTCCTCAAATATTATGGAAGTAAAAAAACACTACTATAGGGTCAAAATAGAACTTTAATCAAATATAAAAGTAAATAAATAAATTGTATTATTTATAAATTACAATCTTAGCTCCAGACAGTTATAGAGGCTGTGTCATCTGTAGCAAAAAGGAAAGATTAAGTGGATATTTGAGTGAAATGTTTGGTCAATAGCGTATTAAACAAGGATCTGATCGTCCTGTAAGTGTAGCAGCAGCAATAACCAGACCTTTGGCTCTCTTTGCAGGCATTTGTAATGACATCTAATGTACATAACTGGTTTATTTTGTATTACATTATGTATTTTAACAGTGTTATTCAATGAAACCATATAATGATTAATTAAGCAATCATTATTTCCTCATTGTTTTTATATAATGTATTTGAAGTCATTTTAAAGGCTAGGTCTGTTTTTATAACCACAAAAAATATTATCGTAATACTTCTTTGTAAATGATTATTTGAAGTAACAAAACCATGGTTGGCTACAAGAACCATGATTTTTGGTTTTATTCGTGTTAATTTCCATAAGCGAACATGCCGGACTGCTGCTGTCTTTTCACAGTTGTCCAAAAGATAAGCAGATATCGTATAGAGCATCAGAAGTAACCGTGGCAACGAATAGCGTATCCTGCTAATATGGCGGCGCCTTCTCGAAATGTAACGCGGAGTGAAAACATCATGACATCTCCTCATTCTCTCTATTAAATGATCTGTGTGTGTGTGTGTGTGTGTGTGTGTGTTTCTAGTGTGGATCATGGAGGAGAGTTCAGGATCACTGCAGGACCTCAAAGATGTAAGTCCTCAATCAGACAGAGTTTTCTTGTTTGTAGTTTAGTTGTAAATGTGTGTGTTGTAATGTGTGTGTTGTGTTCAGACGCCTGTGATCTCACACTGGATCCAAACACAGCACACGCTCTCCTCGTTCTGTCTGAGGAGAACAGAAAGGTGACGTGTGTCTCTGAGGAGCAGTTATATCCTGATCATCCGGACAGATTTGATGGGTATTATCCTCAGGTTCTGTGTTCAGAGAGTCTGACTGGACGCTGTTACTGGGAGACTGAATGGAGTGGAGATGTTCATATATCAGTGGCTTATAAAGAAATCCAGAGGAAAGGAGTGAGCTGGAGTAATGACTGTTTGTTTGGAGCTAATATGCTCTAATCACAGCTTCACTGTCCTTCACAATCGTAAGAGAACTGTGATCTCTGCTGCTTCAGACTCCTGTAAGAGAGTAGCAGTGTTTCTGGACGAGTCGAGCGGCTCTCTGTCCTTCTACAGCGTCTCTGACACACACACACTCACACACTTACACACATTCATACACACATTCACTCAACCTCTACACGCTGGATTTACAGTTTATAACAACTCTTCAGTGTCTCTGTGTCACATTAAACACTAAACACACACACACACTCACACACACTCTCACTCACATTCACACTCACACACATTAGTACACACACACACTCACTCACACACATTAGTACACACACACACACACACACACACCTTTCCTGTTTCAGATCATCAGGATGAAGATGTTTCGGAGACTCTCTGTGTTTCTGTCATTTCAACACTAATCACACACAGAGACAAATATACGCTTGTTAGTGTGAAATAATATGTAATATTTACACTCTTGAGTCATATTTCTCAGGCCGTATTTTCAGGAGTTCATTTAATTTTAGTGTTATAGAAATCAGAATAAAATTACTTCATCATCATCATCATCATTATTATTATGTTTGAAACCAACATTCAAAGCACTGCTGGAGAAAAGTGTGTTTATGCAGCTGTACATTAAAAACATTCTTTTGAAGCATTTAACGCTCCGAGTCTCTTCATTTCTGGGTCACACTTGCTGCTTGAAATCTACGTTTGTTTTTCTGGAAAATCAATGTCATATATTTTTGTTCAGTAA